ATATATATATATATATATATGTGCATACGTATCACATACGTGCGTAGATACTGAAATATTGAAAAGGATTAAACGTTGACCGTGTGTGTGTACGTCGGCGATTATTACATCAGAAGTAAGTCATGATGCTGGAAAACGTGGTCGATCGATAACATTGAAAATCATCCGTCCGTGGATGGCCGGATCTGGCGAGCAGCCAACCGGCCAGTCATAAATTCAAACTCTTTCTTTGTTTTTCGAAAATTTGCCCCGATCGTTTCACTACACGCATCGATTATAGTTTTTTTTTTTTCTCCTTTTCTCTTGTTTCCAGATTCTCTCTTCTTCGTGTTTCGTGTCCAGAGTGCAAGCCAGAAGTGTCATCACCACAACCAACACCATGGCGTTCGCGGGTTTGAAGAAACAGATTAACAAAGCCAATCAGGTGAGTTTATTTGTTTTTATCTTATATTTATAAGATTGTTTTATTTATGTATAAACGAATATCATTTATGTATATATATACATTACAATTTTATCATAAGATTATCGTACGTTCGTAATCGGCTTTCTCTTATCGATGCTCGTTTATCAATATGTCATGTAAACGCAATTTTTTTTTTTTCACGACAGAACGATCACAAAACTTTACTTCTACGATTCTATTTCAAGTTATTCGCAATTCCTCGCGTACGCGTTATGAAAATGAGTGGAGCCAATATTAGTATAATTAGCAATTTTCGTTTCTTTGGTTCACCATTGGTGTTCCATTCAGGACACAATGGAGTATTTCGTATTTCGAGGAAAACGATTCGTATCGGTCGACTCGGTTTATTCGGGCAAAAGCAGGGTGGAGAGGAGGCGTGGGGAGGGAGGGAAGAGGGTGGTGGTGGAAAAAGATGAAACTGTCAGGAATGTGGCACGATCCACGTTGCCTTCTCCACGATTGAATATCGCGATCCAACTTTTTGACCCGGTTTTAAAGCTACCCTCTGGCGGAAATCTCCTACTTCCACCACCACCACCACCACCACCATCATCATCAGGAATCGCGTTGTAATTCGCTGCCGGCGATTGTCGATAGATCCTCGAAACTCGGCCGATATTCAACGTTTCTTTTTCATAATGTAATTACGATATGCTACAGGCTGCAGAATCGTGTTACACCCACGCACGGTTAACTGACCGAGATTCGCCAAGTTTTTCGAGGCCAGATTTTTAAGCTTGCCTCGCCACAGGGGGAATCACGATTCTTCTCTTTGTAATAATCACGGATATTTTGCCGACTTTTACTGGGTCATGTTACTGATTTCAACTGTTATTCCACCGTTTGATAAATCATTGATGAATACTTGCATCCGTGCATCGAATACTTTTCGTTTCTTATCGCGAAATTTCGATTATATTAATATCGTTAAGATTATATTATTAAAGGGAAATACTTGTGCAAGGAATATTCTTCTATGACGAAATTTTGATTGCGTTTCGTAATTTGATAAATCGAGGAATCTTGCGCACCGTTTGAAGAGATTTGTGAAGAAATACTTTCTCTTTCCTTTTTTGCAAAATTATCGAGTTTTGTCGATGATTAATTTTAATCGGTCGACACGATGATTGCGTAAAATTTTATTATTTAAATAATTCGATGGAAATGGTACAATTTTAATTCTGAAAATTTGTTGAATTACGAAAGAAATTGATAATGGTTTAACTCGTGCTGTACGTATCGAAGAAAATGTGATATAACAATATTGGAGAAATTTTTCAATTAAAAATGATTTAAAATTTTTTTACTTAACTTTCTATTGACTTTCTAATTATTTGAATTTAATATTTGAAATTATATAATTTATATTTTATAATTACGAATAACGCGAATTTTAGTATCGAACGATGTAGTAGATTGATGATTTTAGTAAAGATATCCGCATGGCTCGTGAGTGATAAGGATTATACAATGCAACAAACTTTCATCTTATGTAATTATTGAACGAAGTGCGAATTGATCGTAATGCGGTAACCAACGTGCAAAGATAGATTTTTAAAATGCACTATTGAGGTTTCAAATGTAGGTTCGAGTGGTATTTTTCGTTTCAACTTTAAATACACATATTTAATTTATTTCTACGATTTAATAAATTCACCACACTTACATTAATCTGCAAATCAAATTCATTTTTCAATTTATTTTTCATAAAAAAAAAAGAAAAAACTCGAATTCGAGCAATATACATAGACTGAGAATGGCGCAAATATAGAATGATAAATAGCACAATGAACGAGCATTATAGAACAATCCATATCGTACCTCTAATGATCAATTTACCAGTATCCTAAACTGTTTACCCGTTCTTGTCGATAATTAGTTTTAGATACTGTTACACGGAGTTTTATCGCGAAACAATGCTGTGCTTTCATATTATGTTCACGTTGAAACATTTGTGTGATAAAACATTTTACGAAAGTATTTTAATTAAAAAACAAAAAAAAAAAAATTTTTTTTTCCTTTCATTTTATATTAACGTATTATATATACATATATACGTTAATAAAATTTTAAATTAGAAAGTAATCTTGGATAAAAATCTATTTTTCTTTATATTATTTTATATAACGTTATATATTCAAAATTAAAATTTGTAAATGAATTTTTAAAAGACATATATATATATACATAATTATTATGCAAATTAAATAAAATTTTATCATAATGAGATGATTAAAAAATATTTAAAATATGAAAAAGAATTAATGATAAGGTTGTATATTTTAGATGTATCAATATTGCTTGTTATTTTCACATATTATTATTAAACGACTAAAAATTAGTAACTAATCTTATTCCAAAAGTACAAACATTTTTCCTGATTGAAAGCCAATAGATTGATCTGAAATGAAATATTTGCTTTTCTCGATAAAGCTTAATTTGTCAGGTTTATTATTATCGATAACGAGTTATGCTCGTCCTTCTCTCGTTAAAGTTCTTCTCTCTCTCTCTCTCTCTCTCAGTTTTCTCAAGCAATTATAATGTTTCTTTACTTATGCTGATTTTATCGAGGATTAAAATTAATATATATATATATTTGAGTTAATTTAATCTTGAATATCGATTTCTTTGTTA